AGTCGATAAATGAGTATTGTGATTTCAACTTCATATAGGCAATTCACTTTGTTTTTCTTATTTTTTCTTTTATAAAAACTCATAAATGAATTTCAATATGTGAATCTAATGTAGTATAGTACTTTTGAAATATGCATTGTTATGACATTTTAAAAATGAGCATAACTTGAGTACAATTTGAGCGTATGTAAATTACAAAATGAGCATTGATATGAAAATCATAATGTTTGTCAATTGGACGTCACAACATTTTCATTGAGCATCAAACCTCATATATTGAGATGAAAATAACGTTTTCTGTTAAATGAGCATTAATGAACTTTTAATTAGCACTAGACCTATTATATTGAGTATTAGGAGTCTGATACTGAACATCATAATCTCTGTTTCATATCTTTTAATTCACTTTCTTTTTTATATTTTTTCTTTTATAGAAACTTATTAAATTATATTTACAATCAATCCCTATGAAGTTCAATATGTGAATCTAATGCAATATGATACTTTTGAAATATGCATTGATATTACATTTTAAAAATGAGCATAACATCAGTATCGATTGCACATATGTAGCTTACAAAATAAGCATTAATATGAAAATAATAAGCTTTGTTAGTTGAGCATCAAGACATTTTTCATTTAGCATTAAAACTCCTCTATTGAAGCATGCAATTGAGTACTGAATGAGCATTCATAAATTATAAAATGAGTATTAGTATGACAATCATAAGTTTTTTAGTTGAGCGAGCATCAAGACGTTTTTATTGAGTATCAAATCTCCTCTATTGAGTATTAAAAACATGCAATTGAATATCATGGTCTGTGCTCTCATATTTGTAATTAACTCTTACTTGAATCTAATACAATATGCTACTTTTGAAATATGCAATGATATAGTCGTGTTGTTTTTATTATATTTACTCATACACATTAATTATACACTATACTCATTTTCATATAATTTTTATATTATAAATAATTTCCAATAAAAAGATATACGTAGTAGTTGGTAAATTTTGAAATTGAGCCTTCTTCCAAAAAAAAGTTTTATAATTGAGCCATGGAACGATATTCAGCCTCTGCGGAGGAACGAGCCACAGTAGATTGCTTTTTAGCTTTCCATGATACAGGTGAGTGACCCAAGAAAACTAACCAGCCAGAAAGGGACCGCCGAGTAATAGGACAAGCAGCCCAGTCAGAATCACACCATCCTGTAAGAGTAAGATCCCCGTCAGATCTTAGAAGAATACCTTGTCCAGGAGAATTTTTAAGATAACGCACAACGCGTAATGCAGCATCCCAGTGAGCAACGCAGGGGTTTTGCATAAACTGGGACAAGATATGCACCGAATAAGTAAGATCTGGGCGGGTAACTGCCAAGTAAATGAGGCGACCAACAAGTCGTCGATATTGCTCCGGGTCCGCATAAGGAGGACCAGAGGTAGTAGCAAGATTATGATTTTGTTCAATGGGGAAAGCAGCAGGCTTTGCACCAAGTAAACCAGTTTCTGTGATAATATCCAAAGCATATTTACGTTGTGTCAGGAAGATACCAGATGGGCTGCGAGCAACCTCGATTCCAAGAAAATATTTAAGAGTACCCAAATCCTTCATATGAAAGCAAGAATGAAGATATTGCTTAAAACCAGCAATAGTAACACTATCATTCCCTGCAATGAGAAGATCATCCACGTAAACCAGCACATTAAGTTGAGTAGCACCACGGGTGAGAGTAAATAGAGAATAATTCGCATAAGATTGCAGAAATCCGTAGCGTTTCAGAGCAGCAACAAGTTTAGCGAACCAACATCGTGGTGCCTGTTTAAGGTCATATAAGGATTTATGAAGACGACATACCAACTTAGGATCTTGTGTTTTGTAGCCGGGAGGGATCTTCATGTATACTTCTTCATGGAGATCACCATGAAGAAATGCATTATGCACATCCATCTGATGGAGTTCCCAATTTTTTCTAGCAGCAATCGCTAGAAAGGCACGCACAGTGACCATCTTGGCAACAGGGGAAAAAGTTTCAGTATAGTCCAGTCCAGCGACCTGTCGATTTCCAAAAATGACTAAACGAGCTTTAAGGCGTTCGACACTGCCATCGGCTTTATGTTTGACTTTATACACCCAGCGACATCCCAAAGCTCGTTTTCCAGGAGGTAAAGGAACCAAGCTCCAAGTGGTATTTTTTTCAAGTGCGTCAATCTCAGAACGCATGGCATCCCGCCATCCAGCTTCTTTAACAGCATCATGAAAAAATTGTGGCTCTGTGACTGCAGATATGGCTGCTAAGAAGGCACGATGTTTTGTAGAAAAATTATCACAATTAACATAGTGTGTAATAGGAAACGGCGTACCTGAGGAAAGTGATGAAGCGGGTCGAGTGGGAAATGGACTGTTTCGAACAATAGTATGAGTTACATAATCTCGAAGTCTGACGGAGGGGTGACGAACCCGTTTGCCACGACCCAAATCAGCAGCTGGCGGTATGACTTCAGCATTATCTATCACCGCTGGAGTACTCGTTGAGGCAGAAGGTTGCTCAGCATACGTTGGAGCACTAGGCATTGCCGCTAGAGTGCTAGGGATGTCTTGAGTGAAAGCTACTGGAGTGGTTGTTTGAGAAATAGGCAAGGAAATTTCAGCATAGTCCAGAATAGGCACATCTAATGGCCCATCCTCAACACCCGTATCCTTAGTAGCAAATGGAAAAATTTCTTCAAAAAATTTAACATCCCGAGACACAAAATATTCGCCGGTGTCTAAATCATAAACCGTCCAGCCTTTCTTTCCAAAAACATATCCCACAAAAACACACTTGCGACTCCGACTAGTGAATTTGTCACCTTTTGATTTCATATTAAAGGCATAACACAGGCAGCCAAAAACACGCAAAGATTTATAGCAAGGTGTGACACCAAATAAAATTTCATATGGTGTCTTATATTCCAGAACAGCAGAAGGAGTGCGATTAATAAGATGTGCTGCAGCTAATACACATTCGCCCCAAAAAGTAATTGGCAAATGCCCCTGAAATCTCAACGCACGAGCTATATTTAAAATATGTCTATGCTTGCGTTCAACACGTCCATTTTGTTGGGGTGTACCAACACAGGATGTTTGAAAAATAATGCCACTTTGACGAAAAAAATCTTTCAAGCAATTAAACTCGGTGCCATTGTCACTCCTTACAACCAAAAGTTTCTTACCAAACTGGCGTTCAACCATAGCTACGAAAGACAAGAACATTTTAAACACTTCTCTTTTATCCAAAAGAAGATAAACCCATACTGCTCGAGAATAATCATCCACTATAGTTAAAAAATGTTTAGCACCACATGAAGAAGGGGTATGATAAGGTCCCCATAAATCACAATGTATTAATTCGAAAACACCATGAGTTGTACTAGAGCTAACCGGAAAGGGATCCCTAGTTTGTTTAGCCCTAAAACAAACATCACAAGGTAAAATTTCAGAATTCTTTATTCCACTCACAGGAGCTAATTTTTCCATCACCTTTGAACATGGATGTCCCAGTCGCTGGTGCCACAATTCCACAATCTTATTCTGTGAACCTCCTCCTCTAACAGTCAAAACTCGAGCAGTAAAATCCTCCCGCAGATAATACAGTCCATTTCGTCCCTCACCCGTTCCAATCAGTTTCCTCGAGAGACGATCCTGAATAACACACATGTTATGAGTGAATTGAATAAAACAATCCAGCTGGATACTCAATTGTGAAACAGATATAAGATTACAATTTAAATTTGGAACAAAAAGAACATGTCCTAAAATTAAATTGTCTGATATAATCACACGTCCTGCTTTGCTGGCCATAACCGTCTGCCCATCTGGCAGACCAACCGTACATGGTTCAATATTTTTAATCTGACATAATAGAGTCAAATTTCCACAGATATGATTAGTGGCACCAGTATCAATTATCCAAGCATCCGTATCAAACTTACCACTCATTCGATCATTAGAGGATGAAAGGTTACCAAATGTTGAAATCAAAGATTTCCATTGTTCAGCGGAAAAACCTGGCAAAGGCGTGGACTGTCCAAGACTTCCGTCCCCAGCACGATAACTTGGCTGTGATATTTTTGAGTTTTCAACGGCAGCAGCATGTACTTTTGCCATGGGTTTGCAACGATTTGCTCCATATGAATTTGATTCACCTCGTCCGGCATCATCGCCAGATATAGAGTCTGCTTCGTTCGGCATGGTTAATTACCGAGGCTCTGATACCATGATAATTACGTGAGAGTTGCGCTGAAGCAAAAGGAAAATCAATCTGTATATTCTCAAAGATGTGTACATCTGGTTTTTAATAAAACTTTGGATTGCCGATTTCCAAGGATCGGTTCCAATGTAAAAAAGAGAAAGTCTCCTAATATAACTCAATTGCATTATTAGGAAAATATTCTAAAATAAATGTGCTCCAATAATAGATTATCCTCTAATAGGGATGGAGGTAGTATGGTCGGATCGGATAATGGAGATATGTTAGATCTCAGATGGATGTTTAATTTGAGCACATTAAACCCGCTTTTATTGCAATCCATCTGCATCTTGTAAAAGAAATGCACTCCAATCTTAGGTACGGGGCATTTATTTAAATTTTAATGTGTAGTAACGTAGTTTCTAAATTAAATACGAAGTAGTTTTAAACCCCCCTTTTTACTTGATAATAAGGGAAAGTTCCCGAAATGGGACTAAAAAAGTTCGAAAATTCCAAAATAGGACTGTCATGTTTTTATTCCCAAAATAGGACTAATTACTGCCACATTTGGAAAATACTGCCATGTTTGAAGTCTGGTACTGCCAAAACATGACAGTAATTAGTCCTATTTTGGGAATAAAAACATGGGAGTCCTATTTTGGAATTTTCAAACTCTTTTAGTCCCATTTTGGGTAATATCTCTAATAATAATAATATACTAGTATAAAACTACCATCAATGTTCATTCTTTAACACACACACGTATAGATATACACACAAACTAAACACCAAAAGAGAGAAAGCTATTTAACAAAGGCAGAATGAGGAGAGAAGCATGTATTATCTTTTTGTGTTTTCTTGTTTCCATATCCATGGTTGCAGCAGCCAAACGCAGCGCAAGAAAGCTGGCAGTGAAATCCGACTGCCAAATTGATATCGAGGACTTCGCCAAATCGTGCAAGCAATGGATCATATTAGGCAGCGTACCAATGGATCAATACTACTGCGAGGCAGATTGTATCCTTGTAAGGACACAGTGCTCCAAAGAGGAAGTTCTTAAGGAGGCTCCTTATTTCTTCACCCCTGTGGTTGACAAAATTTTGACTACCAATGGCTTCCAACCCTTCCCCTGAATGCCTTGATCATACAGTATATATTACCATTCATTATTATAGTTATAGTTATAATTATAATTATAATTATAATTATAATTATAATTATAATTATAATTATAATTATAATTATAATTATAATTATAATTATAATTGTAATTGTAATTATAATTGTAATTGTAATTGTAATGCATGCACATGTATTATATATATTCAACACCCAATCTAGCTACCACTTATCTTTTTCAATAATATTAATATTCAACTATTTGTTTGTGGCATACACACACATATATATTTTGATATATATTTTGGATCAAATGAGAATCATGCTTAATTAACGTGAGAACGTGAGAACTACACTTTTAAGCAAATGTGATACATTATATCATTTATACCTTGCACATTATCGTGTGCGGCAATAGGTATGCCAAAAAGTTTTTCTATTCCTCGAAAAGATTAAATGATTTTGTGATTGAAGTAACGATAGAAAACTCCAAAAGTGCAATTGTAATATGTTAAAGTGAAAGCGGTTGTGGGGTATGTTGTTATCTGAGTTTTTGTAGGTAAATATATGTAGGTCGAATATTATTTTGTGTTGTAATGTACTTTTTGTCCAATTACGTTAACTATGAAAAAGTACATGTCCCATGTTTGTCTTTAACAATGTATTTGTGGGGTCTGGGGTGTTATTGAAAGTGTGATGTAAAATTAAAAAAAAATGAGAAGAGAAGGAATGGAAATGTAATGGAGGTGCATTATAAAAAAAAGTGAGAAGAGAAGGAATGGAAATGTAATGAAGGTGCATGAATACTGACTATATGTGTATAGACATGGATATAGACATGGCAAAGTGCACAACAATATGTAGTTAGAGTGTACTAGCAATTAACAAAAATGAATCCTAGTAATGCAAATTAGCAGGTTGGTGATATGCACTAATTAGTAGTGCATAAATGTATATTTTTATGTTTGAATTGTGTGGATTGTTTACCATTTTATCTAGTTTGTAAACATTTGTGTGTTTTTAGTTGTAATTGTATTTTAGTTCTCATTTGTAAGTTGTAAAGTAGAGTTAGGATTTATGGTGTTGGAAAGGAAGATTTTGAAGTCAAGAAAAATGATTATTGGCTGCCCAGGACAATCACCCGGTCGGGTGAGACTTTGAAAAGCGAAGGTGGCTGGAAACTACAATCACCCGGTCGGGTGAGGTATTTCACCGGTCAGGTCAGATGTGACCCGAGACAAAACGACGTGCAGAAACATGAGAACATGGCGGATTATTTGATTTTGACATGCACCCAGTCGGGTGGGAACTTGACCCGGTCGGGTACCCGGCCAAAGGTGTTGAAAACACCTATAAATAGCCCCATTTTCCTTCACTTTTAATCGATCTCTTCTTCCATACTCTTAAGCTCAGTTTAGAATAGTATTTCTTTTATATCTTTATAGCATGTTTAGTCTCCAAATGAGGAGCTAAACTTCCATTTCTTGGTGTTGCTCTTGAAGCTTGTTGATTATTAAAGTTGTGAGATATTTTCTTAACTTCTTCCCTTGAATATTAATTATTCTCTTAATCTATCTATATATTAATGTTGGGGAGTGTTGCTAAGATGACAATTAGTTAACATCTCGACATTAGTTATAGTAGTATTTATTTTCTTCCTCTATATATTAATGTTGGGGAGTGTTACTAAGATGACAATTAGATAACATCTTGGCATTAGTTATAGTAGGATTATTCATATTTAATCTTCTTCCTTGATTATTAATTCTTCCCTTAATCTCATTCTATATTAATGTTGGAGGGTGGCTAAGTGACGATTAGTTAACGTTCCGACATTGATTATTACTAGAAACGATCAACGAACCGATGGTTAAACGTTGATGGTTTCACAAGTAAGTAACTTCGGTTTATTAATGCACGGTTGTGGTTAATAAACTTAAGAGGGATTAATTTTGTTGGTTAAACCAAAACCGTTGTGTTGAGGTTATCAATCTCAATTGATTTCATCAAGGAGTTAAAGAGGTTAAATGCTACTATCAAGTCGGTATATGGCGGTGTTCTATACTTGACTAATAGTAAGGGTTATTAATGAACGGTCGTTGTTAATAACTACTCTCGATGAATTGGATATACTCCTCGATTGAGTATTTGAGAGGGGATAGTTATAGATATAACAATGATCGACTAAAATATATCAACAAGTGGAAAGTAGCAATGCCAAGTCCTTTTTATCTTTGAATTAAATCACATTTAAGTTGTTCATCTTTAATTTCTGTTTAATTAAATTAAATCATTCAATCCTAAACCCCCCTTTTATTTACTAGTTCTATAAAAAGAGAATTATTCCTTTCCCTGTGGATACGAACTCTACTACGATATACTACGTATTAGTGCTAGTATTAAATTTATTTTGACGCACACACGACAAAGTGCACATCAGTTGGCGTGCTAGGGAGCATAATATTAGGAAATCTGAATCCTAATATTTTGTTTTGATTACAGCTACAATATTTATTTTTAACAATGTGTTTGTTGGGTGGTAGTAAACTTAAGGCGTGAGATACAAAAAGTGAGAAGAAACGGGCTGGAAGTGTAATGGAGGTGCATGATGAGTGACTGTGTCAATTTAAAATTGAAATGGATATAGGGAATGCACTATGAACAACAATATTAAGTTGGAGTGTAATAGAAAATAACAAAAGTGATTCCAAGTAATATAAAATAGCAGGTATTCAGTTTACAGAGTGTAAAAGGAAAAATGAGTCCTTATAGTTTGTTTTGAGTCTTTTGACAGTAAATTAAATGACTGCGTACTGAATGTGGGGATGGAGGTTTGACCCAAAATGCATATAGTCTTCAGCTTTGGTGTACTTTTATTGTTACATTACAATGTGTTGGAACATAATGTTTTGTTGATGACAAACAATTAGTGTTACCGTTGATCTACAAGTGATTGCAGGAAAGGAAGTTAAGTTGTGATTTGGAACAAGTCGTAGACCTGAACCCAGAACTATCTCACGTTTCTATCATTAATCATTCAGGTGGATAAAATGATAGAACTACTATTTGTTCTAATATGAACAATGGACAGAACTGCCCTGGTCCTACATGAGATATTCGTGCCCATAATTAAATACGTGTCTGCATGAGCATATCTTGCCATTTGTGATATCTTACGTGTGTTAATATATTTCCATATTTGATTTGATATTCTGTTGATTGCATTGATACGTAAAGTTTTCTTACTATCTTTATAGAAATAGTATTTAAAGGAAGAATTAATATTCAAGGAAAGAAATTAAGAAAATAACTCACAACTTTAATAATCAACAAGCTTCAAGAGCAATACCAAGAAATGGAAGTTTAGCTCCTCATTTGGAGACTAAACATGCTAAAAGAAATATAAAGAAATGCTATTCTAAACTGAGCTTAAGAGTATAAAGGAATTGGTTCTTTTCAAAGTGAAGGAAAGGAGGTGTATTTATAGGCTTTTTGAGGTGCAGGTCGAGTACTCGATCGAGTATGTACATATACTCGATCGAGTATGTGTAAAACTTCGAATTCGATCCATACTCGATCGATATTCGGGCATAATTTATATGTATACCCGATCGAGTATGTCGGTGTACTCGATCGGGTATAACAATAGAACGTGGCCAAATCTTTCCTTGCATGTTCCTTTGTTCCCGGATCGGATCCTTGAAAATCAGTATTGGTACTCGATCGAGTATTAGGTATACTCGACCGAGTACAGGTCAAAATCAGGAACTTTCCTTCTTTTTGTCTTGTACTCTTGCACCTTCCTTCACCAATGATCATTTGATTGATCTTGGACCTGTTTAAGCTCAGAATAAACCTAATCTAAACAATTTACAAGAATTTAACAAACTAACTATTACACCAAAAATGTGTAATTTCCGAAATATTAAACAACCAAAACTAACTAAAAACGTAAATAAACACACGGAAATTACAAACGTATCAACTCCCCCACACTTAGTTCTTTACTCGTCCTCGAGTAAAGTCAAATGTTTCAAACAGTTTAAGATCATTCCATGAGTTCAAGAAAGAAAAGAGCTAAGATCACCAAGAAATAAAAAATGATTTTACAAACAATATTCTCTCTTGGGTTTTATGATCTTCTATGCTCCATCTTCTTGCCTCTTCTTCCTCTTCTTCTCTTTTTCTCTTTTTCTCCTCTTTCTCCCCAAAAGATCAAGTGAGTTTCTGCACACAACAAAAATTTCTCTCATATCTCTCATTTTGCCTAGGAGCCTTTTCAGGTTTTCATCCTAGCATCTCTTTTTGTTTTTCCGTCCTTACTAACTCACTCATTTTTTTATAAGCCATTTTTGCTTAGATTGCCCATTCTAGGGTTTTCAACCTAACTAGCATTTCAATTCTTTTATTTATTTTTTTTTTGTTTACAAAGAGTAAAAGAAATTCATGCATAGTAAAGTGTGAAAATAAAAATTACATACCATGATGAGTCTCCTCCCCCACACTTATTTTAAGCACTGTCCCTAGTGCCCGCCTTCTCCGCCATAGTAACTGCCTCCAAAGCCGCCTCCATAGCTCCCGTCGCCCATGTGAGTATCGCCGCCGTCATCCCCGCCATCAAAACCTCCACCCCCGGAGCTAGATCCTCCAAAATTACCCCATTGAATGGGGTCATACCAAGAGGGGGGTGGGGGTGGGTGAGCCATGGTATGGAATTGGCCTTGATGAGCCATGTAAGAGTACATAGGTCCATAGAACCTACGTTGATCTTCTTCATACCTTCGGTTGTCCTCGGCCCGTTGTTCCTCTAGTCTTTGGAATCCCGCTCTTTGTTCCTCCCGATATTTTCCAACTTCATTGGTGACTTTGTTGAACCCTTCAAGGAGTTGTTGGAAGTAATCGGGTGGTGGGAATGCTTGGTTCTGTTCGGGCATGTGGTGAAGTGCATCCTCGGGTTCGTGTTGCTCGGGTTGAGGTTCTTGGTCAGGTTGATCTTCGGGGGGGTCTTGGGCTTGAGGTTCTTGGAGATGTGGTGGGAGGGC